GTTCACCTCCCAGCTCAGCCCCCAGGGGCTGGAGCATCTCTGGTTGTCCAGGAGCTGGCTGGGCAACTGGTCCATCGCTTGGGAAGCCCGACCCACGGGTTCCCACAGCTCAGCCCCATGTGGCACCAGCTTTAGCACATGCTGCCCGAGTTGCTGGTTCCTGGGTCTCACCTGGCCCCCCCCCGGCCCCCAGCAGCCCTGCCTCCCCGGCTTTGTGCAGCCGTACCAAGGAGAACCTGTCCGGGCTGCTCCGCGTCCCAGGAGCTGGCTGATAATTAAACAAAAACAAAATCGCCTTGGCGTGAAACTTGACCTTTGCGGAGCTTGGGGGTGGGGGGTGGATTTTGCATAATTCCCGCTGGTGGTTATTTTTATGCGTTACGTCCGGTTGGTAGCGGGGGAGTGGGGAGTCCCCATCATGCTCCCGTGGTGGGGCTGGGATGTGAGAGAGAAGGTCCAGCCTGACCCTTCCTGTGGCACATCGGTCCTTTTGTGTCCCCACACAGTACCGTCCAGCCGGCGTCCGCCGGGATAACAGATGCGTTCCTCTGGGATGGATGGATCTCGGTGCTTGGGGGATGCCAGTGCTGAGGGTCTGGTGGTCCCATCGTCATCCCTCTGTGCAAGGGAGGCAGCGATGCTGCACCCAAGCCACCCACATCCCATCTCAGGGGGCTCCTCCCCAATTTTCAGCACCCTAAAGACCCCTGCGACTGGGACTGGCACCTTCCCTTGGTCCCAGCTGTGGGGGGGGACCAAGGCCAACCCATCCCTGTCCCCGTCCCCTGCTGCTGCTCCCCTCCTGTGCCCGCGCCCAGCAAAGCCTGCCAGTGAATTAATCTTCAACTGGGGGAGCCAGGATTGTTGCCGTGATGGTTATTATGCCGTGTCCTGCCCGGTGCGGCGTTAATGATTAACAGCCCAAGTGCAATGTCAGCCCCTTTTGAATAGCCCTTCCATCGCCTCCTCTGATAGCCCAGCAAATAACCGGGGTGGCACGGGACCTGCCCGGAAAGCACCCGAGGGACTTGGGTGGGCACCCAGGATGGTTTATCTCTGGGGCAGGGAGGAGGAGGAAGAGAAGGGGAGCCAGGGAGGAAGGCTGTGCCGAAGAAAGGGTGCGTTGCCTCACTTCTTCCCTCGGGCCAGCCCATGCCCTTCTAGGATGTCCTCTCCACCCTCATCCAGGAACCTCCTGGCCAGGCTGTTAGGGCGGGCGGGAGGGGGGGTGGAAATCCCCCACAGCGGGCACTCCTTGGGCAGATGATGCCAGATGAGTTTGTTTGTTTTTTGCTTCCCATTCGCTCCCTTTATCAGCACAAACCCGAAGAGCTGCGATTCCTCCTCCTGCTCATGACACCCTTGTCCCCCATCCAAGCTGATTCCCAGGAGGGAGGGGACAGCTCGTTTCCCAAAGCGCTGGCACTGCCCGCTCCCTGCCAGGCAGGGGTTTGCCCGTTGTGCCCCGGGGCAGGTGATACCCGTGAAAAACATGCCCTGCAAAGTCCTAGGACCCACATGCTGGTCCCTTCCTTATTCATAGAAGCATAGAATGGTTTGGGTTGGAAGGGACCTCAAAGATCATCGAGTTCCAACTCCCCTGCCATGGGCAGGGACACCTCCCACTAGAGCAGGTTGCTCAAGGCCCCATCCAGCCTGGCCTTGAACACTTCCAGGGATGGGGCATCCACAGCTTCTCTGGGCAACCTGTTCCAGTGTCTCACCACCCTCATAGTAAAAAATTTCTTTCTGATATCTAATCTGAATCTTTTTTCTTCCAATTTAAAACGGTTTCCCCTTGTCCTATCATTACACCTCCTGGCAAAGAGTCCCTCCCCAGCTCTTCTATAGGCACCCTTCAGATATTGAAGGGCCGCTATAAGGTCTCCCCGGAGCCTTCTCTTCTCCAGGCTGAACAATCCCCGCCTCAAGCCATCCCGCTCCCCAGGCAAGAGGAAATTCCTGGTGCAGGCTCCGAAAAGTGGCCGTTTCCCACAGGGATAAGGTCCGAGGCTGCCACAGGAGGGGGAAATACAGTGACGTGAGGCCAGTTCCCATCACACTGGGGCTTGTGTGGCCTCATCAGCCAGGATGAGGCCGGAGATGCCACACCGTTCCCAGGTACTCCAGGCAGGTGGGGGTCTGTGTGCGTCCTGGTTTCCCTGTAAAGGGCAAACCCCAGAGTCCAGGGACCAAATGCCACCCATTTGCTGAGCCTGGCCCTGATGGTGACCCCCAACTCTGCTGCCCAGTGTCCCCCCTCCTGCCATCCTCATGGATTTGGGAGAGGGGCAAACCCAACCCAGGAGAAAAGCAAAGTCTGCCCTGCCTTTCATTCCTGCCGGCTCTGCCCACCCCAGAGGGTTTCACAGGGGTGATTGCCCACGGGGGTGGCATAACCCATGGCCAGGGAGCACTGAAGGGTGCGTGGCTGGAGACAGCAGTGACCTGGGCGCTGCCTGCAGTCCCTGCCAAGGAGACTTTGCCCTCCTCATCTCTACCAACCTGTGTCATGGGTGGAAAAGAGGAACCCGGCGCACACACCCCATCAGCTGCTGGAGAACAAGAACACCTTCCCGGGGGCAATAAGGAAGTTTCTGTTTGCTGCCACACACCCCCAGGGACTTTATGGCCTCATGCCCTGATAGCACAACTGTCAGCTTTCAGGGTGCTGCCAGACACCCCGGGGTGCCAGTCTTGGAGGAGGTGGAAATCAGGCAATTCTAAGGGTTACAAGGTGCAGAGATGCCTGGTGGCCCCCCCTTGGGTTGGTGGGGACAGGTGGTGGGCTGAGGTGCATCCTAGTAGGGGACCAGCTGGGATAGGGGTCTCCTCCAGGGACCCCAAAAGCTCCAGCAGCGCCTGGGCAGTGGGGAGGGGAGGGCAAGGGCAGGAGCAGCGGGTAGGCTGCATCAACCTGGCTTACCCCCCCATGACATGGGAGCTGAGAGCCAGGAAATCAAATCCGGGAGGAGGAACTGGTCCTTCGAGTTTCCCCAGCAGGCAGAGGGAGGAACCGAGCCCGTGGTTGCTGAGCTGCTGCCAAAACTCGGCACCACAGAAACTGCCTGCCCTGTCCCAGAGGAGCCCTGCGGCAGGGAAGAGGTGTGAAGCCAGGAGCCTCTGGCCAGTGGGGCATCACCCCCCCCAGACCCGTTCCTCCCCGCAGGGATGGTGGTGAAAGGAGCCGACTTTGCAAAGCAGCACCAAAAAAAACCAAACCAGAGCAGAGGGGGACACGGCCAGGCCAGGCGTGGCCAGCGGTGGCCGGCTGGGTGCCAACTGGCCGTGCTTGGTGCCACTTGGCACCGATGCAGCTCCCTGGGCACCACAACACCTCCAGGAAAGGGCTTTGGGCAGTGACAAAGTCCAGGCGGTTCCCATGTGCTCCCCAGATGTAAAAGAGGAATAAAAATCCCTGATGTCACCCACGAGGTCACTGGTTTATGGTGGAAGTAGGACATTCACCCAAATCACGAGGAGGAGGAAGACAGGGAGTTTTTTCTGGCAGCTTCCTCCACACCTCGCCATGGGGCAGGGCCAGAGCCCACATCCCTGGGGCTGGGTCACCCGGGGTGGGGAGCGGGTCCCCGCACCCATCCCACCACCACATGGAGGTTCCTGCCAGGGTGCCGGGTGCTGGCTGGCACTGGGGAGATGCTGGACCCCAAGGGGCCGTGGTGGTGCCCCGGTGCAGGCCTGTACCCAGCGCAGGACCTGATAAGGGGGAGCCATGGCGGGGACAGAGCGAGGCGGCATGGGGAGGCTGTTTGCCCACTGGCCTCCTGCCCACTCCTAATCGCCCCGTCCTTCACTGCCACCACCCCACAGCCCTCCCGCTCTGCCCCACAGCCAGGGAAGCAGGGAGCTTCATGACAAAAATAGGGTGAAGCAGCCCATGAGAACACCCACCCCACCCACCCCCCAAAACCACCCGCTTTGGCCTCACTTTTGAGATGGGGAAACTGAGGCACGGCAAGTGGGTGCGTAAAGGGGGGGTGGTGCCAAAGGTAAGGAGGGAGTGATGCTGGGGAAGGGGGTGGCTGGAAACCCCCCCATCCTCACACATAGAGAGACCATGGGTACACCATACAGGTGAGGTCCTGTATCATACAGGAGAGTCACATCATACAGGAGAGTCCAGCACAGGGCAATAAAGATGATTAAGGGATTGGAGCACCTCCCTTACGAGGAAAGGCTCAAGGAGCTGGGACTCTTTAGCCTGGACAAGTGAAGGCTGAGGGAAGACCTTATTTATGTTTATAAGTATCTAAAGGGTGGGTTGAAGGATGTTGGAGCTGGACTCTTTTCGGTGGTTTCCAGTGATAGGATGAGGGGCAATGGGCACAAGCTGGAACATAAGAAGTCTCATTCAAATATGAGGAAGAACTTCTTTACGGTGAGGGTGACAGAGCCCTGGAAGAGGCTGCCCAGGAAGGTCATGGAGTCCCCTTCTCTGGAGATCTTCAAGACCTGTCTGGATGCCATCTTGAGTGATGTGCTCTGGGCAACCCTGCTTTGTCAGGGGGTTGGACTGGATGATCTCTGGAGGTCCCTTCCAACTCTGACAATTCCATGACAGAGATGCTCGGAGAGGGGGTTGACAGGACCCTCTTCCCCTCACCACCCCATGTGGGATTCCCAGGGCTGACGAGGCCACCAGTAAAACCCCCAGAGCCAGCCCTGCCCCTTCAAGCCAGGCTGTTGCTGAGGCCGTGGTGAAGTGGTGTCACTGAGCCAGCAGCGGTTGCTGCGGAGGGCAGGTTGAGCCGGGCTAATGGTAGCCCCCGCCGCTCCCTGACTGTTGTGCAAACACAGGGCTGCTTGTTTCCAAGCAGAGTGGAGCAGGTGAGGAGCCACAGGGAAGGGAGGGAGGAAGGGCAGGATGGAGACAGGGATCACAGGTCAAGGTAAGGGGAGACGAGGCAGCCCCCACCCCGCTGTGCTCCCCCCTGGGAGGGGTTATTATTGGAGGTGGCACCGAGAGCGACTCCAGAAAGTCATTTGTATCCAAGATGAAAAATTTATTTGTTTTCCTTTACAGCGTGGGGGGAAGGAGGGGGGGTCAACCAAGAAATGACAGGGGGTATGGGACAACCCTGGCCCCTGCAGGGCCAGGGATGGACAGGGCTGTGCTTCATGCCAGGGCAGAGACCAGCTAGCGCCTCTTTTAGGGGACAATGTGGTGACACAGTCAGGGCTGGCAGAAAATGAGTTTAGGGGTAGATACATCCCCATTTGAGGATGTAGTTCCCACCTACACCATCTTAGCTGGACACCAGCCCCAATTCAATGGAGTGATACCTGTTGGGGGGGGTGAAGGGGAGAGGAAGGGGGCAGGGGCCAGCCTCTGCCAGCCCCTGCATGGGGACACCATGGGAGAAGTACAGCAGCAGCCTGCAAGGGTTTATCAAGGCATCACTGTGCCGCTGGCCCTGATCAGCCCCTGTGCCACTTGATCTCCTGCTGGCATCAGCCAAACAGACCAAGCAGCTTCCCCTCCAGCCCCACCCCATCCCCCCCCAAAGAAGCCCCCAAATCTCTATGTACAGGCTGAGTACACCATATCAGTATAAAAATATACACATACACTCTACAGATCCCAGCTCAGTAGATCAAAACACAGCTATAAATCACAGTGCACAGGACAGCATAAGGCCCAGGGAGCAATGGTGTGCCCCCCCCCCGCCCCCCCAAGAACACACCACACCATGGACACACCCCGGCATGGTGGTGGTGGGGGGCAGATCATCCTCTTGCCTCGTGGGGTCACTTCTGATCCAGACGGCAGTAGATGTACATGGAAACTGCCATGGCCGCAATCTGGGGATGGCAAGAGGCAAGTCAGGCCCCCTAAGCGTTCCCCCCCCAGCACAGGTTTGGGTGACAGCCCATAGATAGCATCCATCCCCAGCACACACAAGGAGGAAGAGCTGGGTGTGCCCAAGTAAGACAGCTCAGTAGCCACCCCGGAGCAGATGGTGGTCCATGGGGCTGCACCAGCCCCTCAGCCACCCAGGCTGGTCCCAGCCCCACTGCTCACCTCCAGGTACAAGGAGGAGGCAGCAGAGTTATGCTCAAATACTCACCTCCAAGGCAGCAATGCCAGCTGCCACACCACCCACCACACCTGCATTGGTCTTGATTTCATCCAAGATCTGATCAAAACAACCCTGCAGGAGGCAACCACGCAAGACAGCATGAGCAAGGGGTAGAAATTCCCTAATCCCTGGGGTTCAGCATCCCTGGAAAGGGAGATATAGTTCTCCAGCCCAGAACTACACAGCCATGCAGAAGGTCTGGAGGCTTCAGGGGGTAACTCAGCCATTTCTCAGGTCAAAACACAATATTGGGAGGGGAAGAGGCAGGGAAATAGCCCAAAAAGGTACAGCAGTGCTTGAGTTCATGCTCAGCTCCAGACATGCCACCCTTCCACAGAGCTCACTTTAGGACCAGACCAACGGTAGCAGCTTTGCTTGTCTCCACCAGGGAGAAGCCGAGGTCACCATAAGACTTAAAACCCTTGGGAACACTATGTCAAGAGCTGGGACTGGAGCTACAGGACAGGTCTCCCTCACTGTGCCAGGGCACACCCCAAACCAGGCTCTGTCAGAAGGCTGGTGCATCCATACCGGGACATCGGCTTCTGCAGCACCTGTGGCATTGCAAGGCAGCTCGAATTTACAGCAGGCATCTGGGTAAACTTGGTTTTCCTTATACCAGGTTGAGTTGGTGAAGTCTGTGTAGTTATTCAGGCCGCAGCATTTGACCTAAGAGGGAGAGAGAGGAAAGGATAGGGAGATCATCCTGGAGGTCTTCATCCTGGGTTAGGCACGGTCTGGACCCTGCTGTCCCATGGAGGGGTCACCCAGCTCAACCTGGCTCTGGAAGAAGTGCTCAAGGGCGTTCCTGGGACCAGTGTTTTGCCCCAGACTCTAACATGTACAGCTCTCACCCCAGCAACGGGACCACTAGATCCCAAGCAAGGAGGTCCCAGGCACCTGGGAAGCTGATGGGTGGTGACAGCTCAGTACATCCAGGATTGCAATGGTGTCCCCATTCCCATCCCAGTGGCCCACCACCAAGCTTGTGCTGGGAGCATCCTGACACACAGGTAGGGGCCCTAGGGCTCAGCACACCTCCTTCATGGTGGTATTCCAGATCCTTGTGAAGCTTTCTTCTTGCCCATACTTCTCCTGCAGGAGAGGCGTCACCACAGCTGTTAGCAGCGTCTCTGCCTGGAAGAAGGGGTAGAGAAACACCATCAGAGAGGGCCCTGAGGAGCACTACAGAGCCAGAATTTCCCATACTGACCTCAGCCTATGGGGAGGAGACCAACCAGACCCAGCATGGCCAGGAGTGCGTCACATTGTGTCCCCTTGGCCCCTTCCCCACTAACCAGTGCTTTATGGCACCAAGGCCACTAATGACCAGTGAATCATCTGATAAGCAGCATAACTGAGGGAGCCAGGAATGACGTTTGCCCTGAGGTTGACTTCTCCAGTGCCTAATGAGGCAAAGTCACCTTTCTCTCCAGGTGGTTTCTCAGGCACCTAATAAGGGGTTGAGTTTGCTCAGCGTGAAGCATTAGGGACTTCCTCTCCCATGTGGCTCCCACCATCAGAGGTGGAGAGGTGTCAAGGGTTCGAAAGAAAAGGGGGAAAAACTCATACCAAACCCTCATTTCTTTAGGGCAATGGGAATCCCTGCTCCCACCACCCTCACCCCAGCCAGGGCACCCCCACCTGCCCACCTAACCGGTGCCAGCAGGGACCACCATCCCTTCCTCCTGCAGCAGTGTCCACCTCTGTTTCCCCATCCATGGGCAGCAACTGCCACCCACCCAAAGTGTGATGTTTTCCCAAGGGATAAACCAGGTCCCAGATTAGCCCAGCCCGAGACTCAGATATGCCACTCACAAGACCTGTGTAGACCAGAGCCACCACGGCAGCAGCAATTTCAGCAATGAAGATGATCAGCACCACCGAGAAGAACTAGGACACAGCAAACGGAGGGAGGTCAAAGCAACAGCCAGAGTCCACAGGGCCCCCCAGGAAACCATTTGCTTCCCAAAGGCCTCCCCCTCAGGGCTCTAGCCCCATCTCATTGCCTTCAGCTCTGCTCCAAGGCAGAAGCAGAACAACCTTGGAATCCTCCAACCCTCCATCTGAATGGGGCTGACCTCTCCAGACATGCTCCAAGAGATGCCTCTGCCCAGCACCCAGTTTCTACTTCCCTTCACCCTTGTTCAGGACACACTGAGTCCAGCATTGCCTTTCCAAGGTCCACCCAGCATTCCACCACGTGGCAACATCCAAGGAGGACATCTCCACAGAGAAATCTATCCCTCAGACCTCCCACACCAGAGACCCAGCTCAAATGAGGCTTGATAAGGAGATGTCTGGTCCATACCATGATCAGGAGACACTTGCTCTCTTTCTGGGCACCATAGCACCCAAGGAAGCCGATCACCAGCAGAATGGCACCAATGGCGATGAGAAAGTATCCCACATGCACAACCTGAAGGACACTAGAGGAGAGCGTCCCAAATATCTTCACGAACGACTGATCATCCACTGCAACCCAGATGCCAACTCCCATGAGGGTCCCACCACTGAGCTGGAAGGAGAGAGACAACATCAGCTCCTGGGCAGGCAGAGATCTGGGATTTGGGATTCTTTCTTCTGTAAATTTTCACCGTACCAGAGCAAGACTTTGTGGCCACTGAGGGCAGCTCAGTGTGTTTCCACCGCAGGCTTGGGGCAGCCAGATGGGTCACTACCCCAAAACACACCCCACCACCAGCTGGCTGTGGCACCACAGCTGCCCCCTTTCCCCAGCCCGAGGGGTTTGGGTGCTTGCAGTGGGGCAGAAGCCCCCATGCAGGGCAGCCAAGCTAGCAGTGCCACCAGCCGGCCCACATGGCCAGCTCAGACACTGGCCACTATCATGCTGCCACAAGTTCTTCTGTCCAGGGACGCTGCCCACTCACCCAGGGGAGCAGCTGAGCAGCCCCCAGACATGACACACTCCTGGCAAGGTCAGCTCGGGGCAGCCTCCAGCTTGCCCCAACCCTGTCCTCCACCTGCTTGACCTTCACCCACCAGCCTCAAGACCCAGCAGGAGCTTTAAGGAGGGAGTGCTCCACTAGGGCAAGCCTGAGAGCTCTGCACCCTCCCTTCCCAAGGCCATATCCCACCACACCCCGTTCCAGATGGCTCCATTGCTCCCGCAGAGCCAAGGTAGCTCTCAGGAGCTCGACTACCCTTTGCCCTGGGCGGGAGCAGAGGCTTTGTGTGCTCTGGAGATCCCCAACGCGCAAGACCACAGGTCACTGCCACACACACAGGTTGCTCCCTCACAGAGATGGAGCCTTCCCAGGCAGGAACCCAGCAACCCCCCCTGCTCTGGGGCACCCAGCACCCCCCACCAGAGCTTCAGCACAGGGAAGGACATGGGTGGCTGATGCAACAGCCACCATCCCAAGACCAAACACAGTCCCTTGGACTTAGGCCAGAGCTGGAGAATGAGAGACCTTCACAAGGCCGGGGTTTAAGTCTTCAGTGTGGGGCCAGAGACCAGATCTCACACCCCACCCGGGTCCCAGGAGCACGAGTCGCACCAACACCCAACTGCCCGTGTCTCCCTCCCCATCTCCCACACAAGAGGGTGTGGAGGGGCAGGAGCCCACACGGGCAGGTTTCACCCACCCCATGGTGCTTCCCCAGACCCCCCAGACCCCAGTTTCCTGGCACAGCCGGGGCAGGGGGCTACCAGGCTTGTTCCCCCCGCCCCCTCAGGCAAGGACAACCACTGGGGTGCACTTACAAATATGGCCAGGTTGAAGAGGATCATCATGACCTTGATAAAGGTGAAGCACCCCATCTTTGCACCTGGGGAGAGCAGAGAGAGGTTATCGGGGGGACCCCCAACCCCGGCACAGGCGCTGCCCTCCTGCGAGTGGGCCTATGCCCCCCCTCCAAGGGTGTCTGCAGGGGGGGCCCCAGGGGTAGGAGCAGGGAAACCCACGGGGGTCCACACCCCGAAACCGCCTCAGCCCAGCCTACCTGAGCGAAGAGCAAGTCCCACAGCCCCGACCTAACCCGCACGCGTGTCACCGGGTGCCTAGTGGCTTGCTGCCCTCTGCCGCCGGAGCCGCCCGCCCCGGGGGGAGCGGGGTAACCCGCCCGGCTGCTGCCCGCGCCCATCGCCGCAGCCTCTTGGCGTGGGGAGGGGGAGACGGTGGCCCCGTCCCGTTGCTGCTGTGAGTTGACAGCCCTCGAGGAGACCACACGCGTGTGTCCCCCCACTGAGTCCCCACCTGGGACCTCCAGGATGGAGGCTTTGGAGGGCCAGGGGATGCGTCTTGGGGGGTCTTCACCCCATGGCAGATGCCGCAGCTGTGGCAGGGGTACCATCACCCTGCTGCTGCCCTCCTCCAGCCGTGCTGGGTGCCGGGGTTGGGGTTTTCCAGCCATGGACAACCCCATGGGTCACAACCCCCCTCTGCCACCCACTCCTGTCATGACCATCACTGAGTCACTGCATCTTCCCCGGCTGATGCTGGACTCACCGATCAGGAAATTTAAAACCGTTTCCCCTTGTCCTATCATTACCCTTCCTGGAAAAGAGTCCCTCCCCAGCTCTTCTATAGGCACCCTTCAGGTATTGAAAGGCTGCTATAAGGTCTCCCTGGAGCCCTTATAGGGCCCTTGAAGGGCCGGGTATGCGTCTTGGGGGTTCTTCACCCCATGGCAGATGCCACAGCTGTGATAGGGGTACCACCCTGCTGCTGCCCTCCTCCAGCTGTGCTGGGTGCCAAGGTTGGGGTTTTCCAGCCATGGACAACCCCATGGGTCACAACCCCCCTCTGCCACCCACTCCTGGCATGACCATGGTTGAGTCACCACATCTTCCCCAGCTGATGCTGGACTCACCGATCAGGACTGCTCGGGCAGGAACCTCTCCAAACCCCAAATCTCCAGCCTCCTGGGCCAAAACAGAAGCAGGCAGAAGAAGGCATGGGGGAGACAATTTGCAGAGGCAAAGCCAAAGTTGTACAGGCCAGCCCTAAACTGGTGTGTGGGGAGGCAGATTCTCACTGGTGAGGACACAGCAGGGTGACAGCAGGAGAGGATGGTGACAGCCAAAACAGATGTCAGCGCTGGAGCGGGTCAGCAGAGACCTGCCATTGCCTAAGGGCTGCCAAAAGGGATTTTCTTTGGAAAGATGCTTCAAAACAGGGCTGGTTCCCCTGGAAGGGGGGGCTACAGCAGGGAGCCAAAGAGAGCATGGGGGGGAGGTGTTGCATCCCCAAGACCTGACCATGAGGGTGGTTCCTTGCCCATCCAGCACACTTTTTGGGCAGACACCTGTGTCAGTGACCTCCTCACCACCCAGAGCGTGTCTTTTCATGTTGTCATCAAGCCCAGGAGGGATGCAGGAGGCCGGTGAGCCCTTGTCCTGCAACAGCAAGGAGCGGACACGGGCTCCTGGTGCTTGGCACACTCCACCCCATGCCTGGGTTCCCCATAACCATCCCAAAACCCCACAGCAAATTCCCTGCCTGGCCATAATGATACATTTCAGCAGGATGAAGTCAGCCCCATCGGGCTCCAGCCCAAAGCCCAGTGGTATTTTGGGGGAAGCCTTCAACCCTCCCAGGCACCCTGGCTATTAATGCAACCTGCATTGAAGCTGGGGTGGGGGACGGGGGGGTTTAACCCTTTCCCCCTTGCTGCCTGCAGCCTCAGCCCTTCCCTGCACAGCAGCTGCCTGTCCAGCGGAGTGACCCCAACTGCCACAAAGCAATGAGGGACTGAGCCTTCATCCTTCTCCTGAAAGTGGACTGCTGCCCCCTAAGAGCAGGTGAAGACCCCCATCGTATTGCCCCTCTCCCAAAAGTCGCCCCATCCCAGGCTGACCCTATTCGCAATCTCCCCACCCCGAAAACGATTTTGGGCAAATATGTAAATACTCGCTCTTGTTCCCAATCGTTCCCAGCCATGGGGAAAACCAAAGGATGAGCCATGGGCTGCTCCACTTGCCTCCCCAGCACCCGGTGCCGCAGCCTGAGGTTTGGCCGCTCCCCAGCATCGCCCATCCAAGTCCTATTAGGGAGCCAGGGCTGGATTTTCTGGCTCTCCAGGAAGCCCTGGCCTGACCACAGCAGGACGAGCCTGGTGACATTCCCGTGAGCCTCCTGCCCAGCAGGGTCCCACCACCTCCCCACCGTCCCCATCCCCACACGCAGCCTGGCTGGACCCCAAGCATCCCCTTCCCTGGAGCACAGGGCCACCTCCAGGGTGTGGGTGCCAGGGCTCCATCTCCCCAGTGACCCAGTCCTGGGAGGCTGAGAGCAGGGAGGTGGCCATAAGTGGTCACCCCTGAGGTTCTCTGCCCCCAGCCCAATGCCTGGGGAAGCACAGGAGCCCTGCACACGTCTGGTGGTCTGGTGTCAGGATCCGACCACGATGTCTGAACTGAGCACCTCTCTGGCGGCTTTTCTTTAAAGAACCTCCCAACCTCACGCCTCTTCCAGCCCAGACACCTAGTTTGAGTGTTCAAGCGCTGAATTCCCACCCCACTGATGATCCTGGGCCTTGGCATCCTCCAGTTAACAGCCAGGATCACTGCGGACACAGCCTTCCCCATCCCTCCTTCCCTGGCATCGGCACCCCCCTACCCAGGGGGGCAGCTGCCGGGTGCTCCGAGGAGCCATTTCACAGCAGCCACCCCTTCCTCTCTACAGGCAAATTAGCCTGTGATGCTAATAAAGTATCTGCTTGGCAATAGGTGAGGGGGGCAACCTAACTCAGCATCTCACCCCCGGCGGGGCACAGGGCACCCCAGCCGCCCCCCCGCCAGCGGGGCTTGCTGGCGCCTGCACATCCCCCTGTTTGAATTAGCAATTGCTAATGAGCCTGAGCAATCTGCCAGCCAGCGGGGCCAGGCAGGTGCTGAGCTGGGCTCACTTGGCTTAATGCCATCCACGGGGACTCAGCTGGGCACGGGGGATGCCCCCCCCCCCCGTGCCTCAGTTTCCCTCCTGCTAAAGCACCAGGTAACAACCCCGAGGACCAGACCAGGGGGGCTCACAGCCCGGGCTTGATTCCTTTCAATACCTGAAGGGTGCCTATAGAAGAGCTGGGGAGGGACTCTTTGCCAGGAAGGGTAATGATAGGACAAGGGGAAATGGTTTTAAATTGGAAGAAAAAAGATTCAGATTAGATCTCAGGAAGAAATTTTTTACTATGAGGGTGGTGAGACACTGGAACAGGTTGCCCAGGGAAGTTGTGGCTGCCCCATCCCTGGAAGTGTTCAAGGCCAGGCTGGATGTGGCCTTGAGCAACCTGCTCTAGTGGGAGGTGTCCCTGCCCATGGCAGGGGGGTTGGAACTCGATGATCTTTGAGGTCCCTTCCAACCCAAACCATTCTGTGATTCTGTGATTCTATGATTTTAGGGTAGCCCCTTGCAAAGGGTTTTCACGTGCGTGTTTTGGGCTGGCAGCATCCACCCAGTTGTCCATCCTACATCCAGTCGCCCTGGAGCACAGTGGATGGATGGACACACTGCAATGTGCCGGAGGTGAACTTGGCTTCGGATCTGCAGGTGGAAGTTACTGAACGTTGCACATTTGTGCTGAATTCATCGCTTCCCTCCTCCTGCTGGGGAGAAAAAAATCTACAGGAGCCAAAAGTTTTTGACATCTTGAAAATGAAACGTTTCAGGGCTCAGCTTCAAAAGGAACTCAAAGCATTTTGGCCAGAGAACTGGGGAAACCACCAATTCCCCCATGCAGGGAGGGACGGGGCAGTGGGATCACACTGACTTCCCCAGGGCTGCAGCTCCTGCTCCTGGAGAATCCTCCCCATTTCTGTGTCTACGTGCAACACCACCACTTGAATCCCAAAAACTGGAGCTACCCCATCTGGTGCCACGTTCCATGCCACGTGGAGCCTGAGGTGTAAATACGGGGGCGATAACCAGGGGCTGCAAGCGTGTCACAGCAGCACACCCCCCGGCGTGAGTCCCTCAGGATCGGGGATCTGACCCTGTGCCTTATGGGGCCAATTTTAATCATGGTGCTGTTTCTGGCTGTGTGTTAATAAAATAATAAATATTAATAATTTAATAATTGAAGAGGGGCTCAATGACATCTCCCTGCCTGTATATCAGGCTGAGCTTCTTCCCGTGCATTTACTTCCCACAGCAAGTCCCCCCTGTGCCTGCCCTGCACTGGCCACCTGCCTGCACCCCCCCAGATAATGTCTTCTTTTTTCTCACACGTGTCCAGGCCAGTAAATTCCCCCAAAATTAATTAACAGGGGCTGTGTAGAGGCGCCAGCTGCTGTCCATCCAAGCTGGGTGGGTTTTGGGATGCAGAGGGCTGTGCCGTGGGGTCGCATCAGGACAACCCTCTGCCCCAGTACTGCTCTGGGGGATGCTGTGGGTGAGAACCATGCTGAGAAGCCATCACTGTTTTCTTGCTGTCATCCTGAGGATGGTGGGATCTGCCTGGTCCATGGAGCTTTCTCCCACCATAGGTCAGGGTGTGAGACCTGGCCCAGCCAGGGTTCAATGCTGGGGTATATTGGTGCCAGCAGCCCAGGGAGGTACTGGCAAGAACGCTTGATTCTTCCTAAACCAAAACCTATAGAGGCCAGAGCACATTCTGGGAGAAAACCAAGAGAGAGGGAGCTTTCCTGCTCCTAAAGAGAAGACAAAGCAAAGAGTGGTCCCCTCTGAAGGCAGGAAACAGGGATGAAACCAAAAAAGCTGACCCCAAAATCACAGTGGACATCTAACATCATTTCTCTCTGATTTCTCCAGCTGGGAAGGGCTCAGCCCGGTTTTGCAGCCTCACTTACTCCAGCCAGGCATGCTAAAAACTCTATTTATGCTCTATTTATTCACAGATGTGTGGCTATCTTCCTCCGGCCGCTGCTGGAAAACACGGCATGAGCAAGGACGCAAGGATGCCTCCTCCTGCACACCCTGCAGAAAGTCAAAGGCCTGTCCAGTCAAAAGCAAAGCTCTCACTGAAACAAGTGTTGCTCATTAAGCAAACAAGGAAGGCTCTGTGGCTAATCAAGGCCTGACGGGCAGCTCCTCTGCTTGCTCAATAAATAGCAGTGAAGGCCTGAAGCACCTTTTGCTTCTTCCTAGGGTGCTCCATGAGGGCTCTCTGCTCACCCTGGGAGATGCACCCACCTCTTGGCTGGAGTAAGGTGAGGCTTTAAATTAACAGCATAGGGGTGACAAAGGGTGAGGGGCAGCCCAGGGTGGGGGAGTTTTGGGAATGATCCTGCTGCTGTGCAGCTGGATTGCAGGGTAAGGAGTACTCTGAGGGCTGGGAGACATCTGGAGGCAAGTAATGAGGAAGCTGGTCATGCTGGGGAGGTCTAGGGGCTTCAGCCCCATCTTGAGGGCTGAGGGAGCAGAGGACAATGGGACTTGGCTCCAGCAGGAGATGGTACCTTTGGATTTGAGGACCCTGAGGTACATCAGGAGGCGAAGATGTCCACTGCTGGGAAGAAGGATTCCTACTCAGCAGCCTGGGAAGGGGAGATGGTAGGTGTTGTGCCAGAGTGTTCTCCTGCTCTGGAGACCTGGGACTGTGATAATTCCTGGTCTCTACACAGGGTTGATCTTAAGCTAGGAAGGATGGTAATATCAGATGGTGATGTACCCTCTAGCATTCCCAGCTCTGATCCTCTTCTAGGAGGAAAATACCTCCTTGACTTTCCCCAGGCAGCCGCTGGAGTGCTGGCACCATGTCCAGCTCTGTTTGGCTCCCCAGCCCCCATGGGACAGGCTGGGGAGATCAAGCAGGACTTTAGGCACTCAGTAAAACCCCTTTGACCCCAGAAGGACATAAGAGACAGGAGTGGGGCAGCCCCATGTGGGGAAGCAGGACCCAGGGGAGGGCAGTGCCTGGCTGTTTGCAGCCAGCTCTGACTCTGTCCTGGCAGCTGCGGCAGCAGAAACAGGACAAGGGAGAGAAAAAGCCCTTTTAGTCCCTGGAAGCCAGCAGCTGGGCTGGATCTGGGCTGGGGAGCAGGGCAGCAGGGGCTGTGTGTTGCCCAGGGACGTGCAGCTGGGGTGAAATCCCTCGGGATGCCGCTGCCTTGCACGGTCAGGCCACGCACTGCGGGGAAAGGAGGGGGGAGTTTGCTGAAGTTGTGGGTGACCAGGGCCATACATCTCCTGCGTTGCTCTGCTGGCTTCTGTGCCTCGGTTTCCACAGTTTTCCCAGCCATTCCCCAGCTCCAGGGCTGCCCCTCTCGGATTTGGTGCCAGCCCTGTGCTGCTCCAGTCCTGGCCTGAATTCAGCCAGAGTGCATTTCCCAGAGCCTGTGTTTTAGGTACCAACTATTTTTAGGATGTCCAACCTGCAGCAAAGACAAGGAGCAACTGCCAGTTTGGAGAAGTCAGTGTGAGAAGCAAGGTTTAAAAAAAAAAAAACCAAAAACACACCAAACAAACAAAAAACAAGTCTCTGCACCTCTGGGGACATCGTATGCACCTCTTTGCGCCTTATGAAGAATCAAATATTGGGACAGCTCGTCCATGCCTCAGTGTAACTGGCTCTGTTGAGACTCACTGAGACACAAACAGCCTCAGGGCAGGGGCACCCCCAGCATGGGTGTCCCCCTGGCTGGAAGTGAGCTGAGAACTGATGCTCTTATTGCATGGGACTGCACTGCTGTTGCCAGGGGCTGGCAATATGTGTGTCCCTGCTGTGGCCAAGCTTGGCCCTTTCCATATGAGCCCTGCCAGCCCCCTCCGAGTTCTACCCCATTATATTTTACCAGCTGAGTTGTTAATTTTTAACGAGCCTTGCTGCGAGGGGGAGCTCTCCCAGCACTGCCCTGTGCTGTTTTCTGGGGTGCCCAGCACTTACTGTGGGCCTGGGGAACATTTCTGGGCAAACACTCAGGAGGGGAGTGAGGAACTGGAGCATCCCTGTGCTGGGATTCTCCATGGCAGCTCCTGCCTGTCCTGTGCGTGCTTTCTAGCCTGGCTGAGGGATGGGGTGCTGGGGTAGGGAGAGCTGGCATGGAGTGGGGGGATAAGGAGGGGGTCTGTGGGGTGCTGGTCCTCCCCTGTCCCTTAGCATCCCTAAGGATGGATGGAGACACACGGATGGGAGGTCTTCATCCCGCAGAGGAGGCAATTTTTGAAGCAGAGATGCTGCATCTGGGGATGAAATCATCTACCTCCTCCTACATTTTTCCCCACCTCCCCGGTAGCCGGGCGGCC